AAAAGTGAAGGCATCGACACCGAGCCACTGATGTACCAAACGGAGCTGTTGAGGAAGATGAATCAAACAGAGTTGTCGAAAAAGAGACTTCGTGTAGGTCGAAAATTTAATTCAAAGAAAGAAGGAAAGGAATGAGATTCTTGTGACAACAATTAGCAGCATTTGTATGACCATCTGTAGCTATGGCTCAAACTCTTCAAAGAACTAACTTGAAATAAATCTGAACCCCATGCGATAACCACTTTCATCAAACTGCATTCCACCAACGATACTGGAAAGATACTTGGAGCGTCAGAGCAAAATTCTCAATTTAATTAATTTATTTGCTGTTACTGGTTCACATTCTAAATATTATTAGAGTAAACATTAGGAGTTTGCCATTGAAAACTAATTAAGAAATATTTATGTGATGTTGATGCTATTATAAGGCGTTGTTGTTGTTGTTGTTGTTGTTGTTGTTGTTGTTGTTGTTGTTGTTGTTGTTGTTGTTGTTGTTATTACTTCTAATGTTATTGACGCCATTTTTCGATCAAAAAATTATGGCTACTAATTATTATTCTTTATTATTCTATAAATCTTTATCTTTGTTTTTTTCTTATTATTATTTATTATTATTATTATTACCACATGTTATTATTATTTTTTTTATTTTTATTGTTAGAATCGTGCGTGATCAAAAGAAAATTTTCAATTAATTAAGTAATGTCGTGATACTGAAACCTTGTTTCATCGTCATCGTCGTCATCAACATCATCATCATCATAATTTCTACCATTGCTATCATCATCACTATCATTGCTATCATCATCACTATCATTGCTATCATCATCACTATCATTGCTATCATCATCACTATCATTGCTATCATCATCACTATCATTGCTATTATCATCACTATCATTGATATCATCGTCATCGTCATTGTCATTGATACTATCATAATTATCATTGATATCATCGTACTAATCATGACCACCATCATCGCTTCATGGCATTCCATCATATTTTATGACCATAGCAACACACACCTACACGCAAACACAAGGGCACACACACACAGACACACAAAAACATATACAAACACACACACAAACACACACAAAAACCACATGTAAATATAGACTCACACAGACACACAAGAAAATATACAAACACACACACAACAACACAAACATGTTCATAAGATATCAACATATTCGAAGTTACTTCTCAGCAGCATTACTTCAACGCTAAAAAAAGTAAACTACTACAAAAACCTAGTATCAGTAAAATGACGTCATTTAAGCATTTAAACAACAGCAACAACAACAACAAAATCAAGACATGAACAAACCATTGATATAAAAATATTAACAAAGAACAAAAATTCAAAGTTAACAAAAGTATAAAAAAATCAAACAGTTACACTTTCAAAAATGTTAAAAATATTTTAAATAAAAGCAATACCACCCCTAAAACACCCTCTAACAAAATAAGGTGTGTGTGTATGTATATATGTGTGTGTATGCGTGTGTGTGTGTGGTGTGTATATGTATGTGTATCTGTGTTTCAAAAAAAAACAAAAAAACTATTAAAAAGCAGGGCTTTTAAATAATTAAAATTTTGTTTCAGATAATAAACTGTGCAAACAATCGTCATTGTTGGATAATATGAGGACGACGACGCTGCTGCTGCTGCTGATGATGGCGCTGCTGCTGCTGCTGATGATGAAGATGATGATGATGACGATGATGATGATAGTTAAAGGACGGTGATGCTGATGATTTTGACTATGATGATTATGATATTTGTGGCTATGTTGATGTTGACGATGTTGCTGATAAAGTTGACGATGATGACGACGATGAAGAGATGAAGATGACGGTGACGTTAGTAAAAATCATGATCGTTATCATGATGATTCTAATGATGATGATGATGATGATGTTCATGTCAAATAAAAATTATGTTGCTGTTTATTTTATGCTTATCCATTTTTTTCCACTTATCGGCGAAGTTGACGTCATCCGAAATTTTTCTTATCTGCGTCATCACATTTTCCTACATAGTCATCAAATTTTTTTAGCTTCTATTTTTATAATTCGCATAAATCTCGCACCATCTTCATCATCCTTCATCACACTCACGGGCATTTTTTCCATCCAATATCACCACCATTATCATAAACTTTCACATCAACACCCTACTTTTTCAGTCATCATCATCAACTGTATCGTCATGACGTCATCACAAACGTCATCACCAACTTCATCATCGTTGTCGCCATCTTCATCATCGTCTTCGTCGTCGTCATCACTATCACATTTTTACCTCACCTTATCTCTCGCATAGCACAAACATTCACTCGACAATAAAAGAAGCATTAGTGACATATATATATATACAATACAACATCATTAATTATACATGAGTACAGAACACGCATTTCTTGGTGGCATAATTGCATTTTTGTATACTTAGTATTGTTATTATCATCGGTGTTGTTGGAATACATGCACATACGTGTGCCTATCTGCTGGCGATGGTGGCATAGGAAAAACACACACATGCTTAAATTGTCTTTTTATTTCATTTCAGATAACGCCTAGTTAAGAACCAAAATAGAATTAACGAGAAGAAAATTTAAATGATTTCTAAATAGAGAGAGAGAGAAAGAGAGAGAGAGAGAAAGTGAGAAATGAAAAATAATAAAGTGAGAAAAAGAGAAATATGCAGAAAGAAAGAGTAAATCTACATCGTTCATCTCTATGTATGCTGCACACATCACTAAAATATGACAATACTTGATGATTTATATTCAGACCCTTCATAAACCAAACAATAATGATGGTATAAAACACATTTTGACATTAATACCTCTTTTTGTATTAATACAAAAGATATCTTCTATACACATTCCCACCAAAAACTCATTCTCACTTAAATACCTCTTTTTGTATCAATACAAAAGATATCTTCTATATCTTCTACGCGCATTCCTGTCTACAGATACCTATATTTTCGTACTATCACAATTAAGCGTACAAATACATTTTTTGTGTACAACGTGATACGAAAGCAGGCACCCCCTTAATACGTAGGTGGTACACTTCCAAAGCTGCCTGTAATGACAAAGATATGCGCCATGATTTATCACCTTTTTTATTATCTGTAATTGTAACAGCAGTAGTTGTAGTAGCAGCAGTAGTAGTAGCAGCCGAAGCAGTAGTTGTAGTAGCAGCAGCAGTAGTAGTAGTAGTGGTAGCAGCAACAGTAGTAGTACTACTAGTAGTAGTCATGGTGTCTAGAAGAGGTAGTGTTAGTAATAGCTGTAAAATTAGTAAAAATTAAAGTAAGAGTAGCAGTTAAATTAATGAGATATAAAGTTAATTACGTAATAGAACACTTTCGACCTCACTTCATCTCCGTGAGAATCATTTAAAAGTCAATTTCATTGTAAGCGTTCGTAGTACCTACCACACGCAAAATACCCATTTATCATACTGCACGCACACATCTCCTTTGTACACAACTTTCATCGCGTACATTAAGTGTACAACATTTGTCAGACGTATAGTGTACTGTACACTCATCGGTCGTATATTTTCATTGACTGAAACGGTAACAAATACAAATAGAAATACACTTTACAATACATTACATTACATCTACAATATCACATCAGCACCATCAATAGGTATACTAACACGCTTTTATTCACGTCCAAAGCTTCAGGGTTAAAGTCCACGTATAATAGACATATAAATTTTTGTTGGGATAAAGTTAAATTTAGCGAAATTTGTGTGTAAACGTTTCAAATTGTTGAACCATCTTAAAAAATCGACGCTTTGCTACATTTAATAACAAAAAAACAAGTCCCGATATGAAAATTATGCAAAAAAAAGTGAAATAATTAAAATAAGATTGTCGACTTTTTCTCAAGAAATTTCTGGCCCCACATACAAAACTTTCTGGCACTGACCAGTGACCACCTCAGTACTACGTAACACATGCTCTGAATGCGTACCGTAAACCCTTGACTATATACATACCTGGTAATTTGTATTTGGTATTTCTGGTATTAGAACAACTGATACCATCAAGTCATTTTAATGTTGTCACAAACTATCAAATGTATACTGCTTTTGAGTCAAAATGAGCTATTCGTTTGATTATATGCGTGTGTGTGTGTGGTGTGTGTGTGTGTGTGTTTAATACAATCACACATGCATAGAAACTCACCATAAAAGACACTCAACGATGCATATAAGTAATAGAATTATATTTTTCTTAAATTATTCAACACGCAATATTGGTTTCATGGAGGAGATGAATTAAGTTTAAATATAAACTCACGTTAACGATACTACATCTGTTACTACAATTACTTATCATACTATTTGTTATACTACAAGTATCACAACCACAAGCGTTATGTTCGTTTCGGCTGCTACTGGCTAGTACGTATACAAATTTGAATACTTCTAATGTTAATACTAGTACTGCTGCAGCTTCTACTACTACTACAACTAATTCTACTACTACTGCAACTGCTGCAGCTTCTACTACTACTACAACTAATTCTACTACTACTGCAGCTGCTGCTGCAGTTGCTGCTAAAAATACTGCTACAAATACAACCTTGACATTGCTTGTTGGTGCTCATTTACAACAAAGCCTTTTTCCATGGTTATATTTCGCCAGTGGAAACACGCAATACGTCGTGGAGTTTATTGTTTGAAAATTGTTTCTTTCATTTTAAACTTTAAAAACAAAACAAAAAATAATAGAAATAGTTTGTTTTTTTAGAGGTTTAATAAAAATTATTATCATTATTTTTGGCGTTCTTTCCATTTTTTTTTATTCACCACCAACCACAACGAGATCAAATTTTTTCCGTTGAAAGGCCTTTTGAAAAATTTTCTTCAAAAGCGGAAAAATAAAAAAGACAAAAAGTTTTTACACTCCCACAACACGTGATTTCATTGTAGAGATAATTTTTTGTCACCCCTTTTTCCATCTTATTTTTTGAAATGTAAGGTGTTGTCTTTTTTTGTATAATGTAAGTAAGGTGTTGGTGTCTTGTAATGTGAGATGTTGATGTCTTGTAGTGCAAGATGTTGATGCCTTGTAATGTAAGGTGTTGATGTCTTGTGATGTAAGATGTTGATGTCTTGTAATGTAAGGTGAATTTTTATTTTATTTTTTATCATAATATTCCTGCTATTGTTACTTTTATGATTCTTTGTTTTTGTGAAATTTGCATATATAAATAATCATAATTTAACACGGAACTTTTTTGCTGGGTTGAACCGTTGTACTTGGACTTGAACTTTGACCGGGAAGCCATTACGTCATCGTATTCTATTTTTAGTTTCCTTGCATCGGTCATCCGTGATCGTCATTCATCTACTGCTATTTGGAGTTTCCGGGCACAAATTATAATGAATGTGTGACGTCATTTTGCTGGGTTTTTTTGCTTTCATTGAACTTTTTACTGAGAAGAATTGTGTGTTTGCGTGTGTGTGCGGGGCTTTGAGAGAGAGCGAGAGAGAGAGAGAAAGTTTATTTGCGTCTGTGTAACATGTGTTTACGGTAAGTTCAATTTTGTGAAAATAAAAAATATGTTCACATTGACTTGTTAGGTTGTTGACTTGACTTGTGAAATTCACTATGGTTTGTGTATAAAATAAGATGAACTGTTTGTTTGTGTGTGTGTGTATGTGTGTGTGTGTGTGTGTGTGTGTGTGTGTGTGTGTGTGTAGTGTGTGTATTAATCTGCGCGTGCAAACGCTAATCTCAAAAATGTGTTAGCGTATGCCTTAATTAACACAACTCACCAGCTAAACATTTTTAATGCAGCAGAGTGTTGAGAGGACCAAATGAATGGAAGAACGAACGAATGAAAGAACGAACGAACGAAGGAGGGAACGAATGAATGGACAGAAGAATGAAAGAACGAAAGCTCAGCCCACGCCTCTTCATATTTCTTTTTTCCGATTGCAACAATGAGCAGACGTGATGGTAGGCGAGCGTGGACGAACATATGTGCTGAACATGAACGAACATTTGTTAACATCGCTGCGTAAGTATAAGCCACACTGCGGTATGTGTGTGTGTGTTTGATACTTATCCTTCTATACACATTTTTATGTATGTTTGTATAAAAACGGTAATAAATATGTAAAAAGAACTTTACGTGGCGAAACATGCACGTATACATAGACACTTCTGTATGGATTGGTATATTTTGTACATGCGCAAATCTGTATGCGGTGTATGAATGTGTATGTATGTGTGTGTGAGTGTGATGTGTAGTGTGTGTATGTGTGGGCGTATGTGTACGGTGTGTGAGTGCGTATATGTTTTTTTTATAATTGTGGCAAGAACAATTCACAATTGCGATCAATTTTTGTCATTTTTTTCTTCCTTCCTGTTGCCACTGCACGACAATTATTCTTCATTATTATCCATCTTTCTCATTCTCCCTTCCAGTGGAGTCATCATTGTCTCAGTAGATGATGTCCACAACAAACCATGACTTTTCTTTGGAACAATTTTCCACGAGACATGTTTTTATTATTTGTTTATTATTTTCATTTTTATTATTATTATTATTATTTGATTATTTTCATTATTATTGTTACTATTATTTTGTTGTTGTTTTTGTTGTTGCATTAGTCAGAATAATTGCATGCTATTTCAGCCATTAATGTTTTTTCAACTTTTAACAGCCTTTCATCGCTTTGTTTTGGCAGTTTTTTTTGTTTGTTTTTTTTTGCTTTTTAGTTCCTCTTATGTTTTGTTTTATTTCATAGGATCATTTTGTTTAAACAAAATAAATGTTGTCTACATTTTAAAAAATAAATAAAAAAAACAAACTTTGTTTCGAATTTGAATTCACGCTGTCGTCATCAGCAGTGCGATCGCCGGCCACACCACTACTACGACTGCCTCTACCACTAGCCTCACCACCATTATCAGCGTCATTATGAGCAGAACTTCTAAGAGAAACTCGCACGCCAGCGACATCTTCAACACCACCACAACCTCCCCCATCGTCGTCGTCGTCGTTGTTGGCTGTGGTTGTATTTGCAGCCGCTAAGAGCGTGTCGAGACTTTTTTTCATGTTGACTTTCGAAGCTTCTTCGCCGGAAGCTCTTTTGCCGTCGTTATCTAAACATCGCGTCGTTTCCATCAGTTTCAAGGAATCTGATTTCTTCGATAGCGAATCATTCCCGCCTTCTGGAGTTTGACGGGAAAGTTCAGACTCGTAGCCCAAATTTTCACCGCTCTCTTCTTTGTTGAGGACCGACTCTTTGGATTGCGAGGTCTCGTGCTTGTCGTCTTTTGGGAAGCAGCAGTAGAGGTAATTCCTTATTCCTTGCGATAAACTGAGACTGCTTTTTCCGCTAAAGAAATTCAAAGCAGCCATCGATTCCTAATTATACCGTATGATTAAATCCAATTTCATTAAAACCAATTTCATTCGATAAAGTGAGTTATTATTATTATTATAAATATTATTATTATTATTATTATTATTATTATTATTATTATTATTATTATTATTATTACTGTTATTTCAGTTAACTAGTTAACTAATTTTCCACGATTTATAAACATTAAATAAGAAAATCATTCAACTAAACCAGTTGAATGTTTGTTTACATTGCAAGAATGTAATGTGCACACTTCAAATTCTAAACATCTTTCTACCTGTATATATGTGTTTGTATACGTTTGCTTACATCATTCTGTTCGCCCAGTCAGTAGCATTGAAATTAAATTTGCATTCACTCGTTATTGTAACAGTACTACCCACAGTGCACGTGTAATGTTAATGTATATTGTATAATGTAGTTTTACTTATATTTTTATGTGTGTAATTGTGTGAGCGTGTATGTGTGTGTGTGTATGTGTGTGTGTGTATGTGTGTGTGTATGTGTGTGTGTGTGTGTGCGTGTGTGTGTGTGCGTATTTATGAATTTATATGTGTTGGAATGTATAATAGTATATGTTTAATAACTCGGAATCATTATTGGCTACTCATTTTAATGATATTGACACACACACACACACACACACACACACACACAAACGCTTAAAACTAACACAACTTCCAATACTTCTACAACCACCACAGCAGATGCCGGTACCACTATTAAATTTATAAAATTATTATAACTATAATTTAGCTCCTATTATAACTAACGTTTAACACAAAAACCACAAATGTAACAAACAGTTAATAACTGATTTATACAGCGCTCAACAAGCCGTAATAATAACGATAAGGAAAATACTAGCAACAGTGCTGATAAACCAAAA